TTAAAGCTCCATATTTTACAGTTTTCCTGTGTTTTATTTGAAGTGTTAATCTATAAGAAGATGTATTTGTGGTTTTAAGAACCAAAAACCATCTCAGTGTAGTTTTACATCTCCTCTCTCAGGCTTCTCTCTGGAGCTCTAGTAACAACAGGTCAGTGAGCCAATCAGAAGAGAGGAGGCTCTGATATAGAACCTAGACCTGCTGTATAATCAAGCAACACATGGACATCTACCTTTATACTATATGGGACCTTTAATAGACCTTGTATGGTAAAAGGAGATAGCTGGAGCTCAACAGTACGTCACTGTCACTCGTCAGCAGAAGCTGTTGAGTACATCAGGGAGGAACTTTACCCCCACGCAGACAGTATAACAGTGTAACAGCCATCAGCTGATGGCTTTGTCTGCCGTGTCTTTGACAGAAAGCTGATGTGACAGCCGTCCTCAGAGGGTTTGGTTTGCTCTGTGGTTTAACTCGAGCCAGCATCGCCGTCATCGCCAAAGACTCTATTCACCTGGTGGGCTGGTTATTGATTGCTGGCCTCCCCATTCTTTCTCTTCAAACACAACAGACCCTGACACCCAATCACAGTCTGTCGCTGGCCATCTGTCAGCTGCATCACTCGGTGTCCTCCTGGATAACTAATTACAAGGGATGTCCATAACTAGTTTGTGGGCAGGAAAACCCAACTTGTCTGTCAGTGTTTCGGGACAAATTTTGCCAGCGTGTCTATCTAAATCCTTGTGAACACAGAGCTGGGGATTTAAGCTTTTTATGCACAGTGACATTTAGGTTTTTCTTATTTCTTTCTTCTGTGTCTCACAGCGGCTGTGTGGGTTGTAGCATCGAAAGGCTATGTAATCTCAATTTTGTAACACTGTAAATGGTCTGAAATGTCTGAAATCAAATGGACAGGCATATCATACTTTTTTTCTTGTTGCTTTTTCCCTGAAAATGGTCTTAATGGAGTTAATGGGCTTTTCTGAGAAGAATCTCAGGTTAAGGTTTGACTAATTACAGTCAGACTCATAATGTTAAACATATTGTGTTGTTGTGTAGAAACACTGATGGTGAATATCTTTACTATATTCAAGTAGTTTATAGTTTTTGATTTACTTATTTTGATTCTACTATTGTCTCCACCAGATACTGGACACTGACCTTATTAAACAAAATGGCTGTTGGCCATTACATGATAAATCCACATTAGATACAATTTCTGTGTACACTGGACCAGAACATGTGACAACAGAAAACTCTGGAACTTGAATATATTTAAGATCTTGGTTGAAAATACACAAAAGTGATCACACATCTTCCCATCCACAGATATAGACCATTGGGGTCTTAATCCAACATCAGCAAGGAACTACAATGTTAAAATAAGCAAGACTCTGCAATAGAGGACTAATAGTGTCAATATTGGGCTTAACGAATATATTGGATGTTGAGTTATTCTTCATATTAGATGTAATAGTACCTCTCTGACCACATTTGCACATAAACCATCAGTAACACTCGCAGTGAGAGTTGATTTCCTTAAACTGTCAGTTTGTTTTGTATTTGTTCTGTATATTAAGCCGTCTGTTTTTTTTCTGCAGTGCAGTAAGTGCTGTGGGTGACTCAGTTACTGGAATCAGTTACTTCGATTCAGTTGTGGTGAATGATTCATGTCGTTTTGTTCCCTGGCCTCATGTTCGCTTATAATGACAATAATTCAAATGAATTCTACATAGTGAGGTAAACAGATTTTAGTTTTGAGGAAAAAAGAAACCATGCTACTGGATAGGTACTCTGAGTTGAGGTATTGTGTTGCTGTTGGTATCAGGAGGAAAAAATTGGATGGTGCTTTTTTTTTTTTTTTTTTTCTTGTCACGGTGACAAAAAAATTCCGCGGAGCCATATCAAGACTGCTGTGCAACACTAAACCTTCCCTCAAAAGCAGAGCTGAATTTTCGTGTAAGTTTTACAGCTGATGTTTAAGGAGGGTAATCTGCCAAAATGAGAAGCCAGAATCTGTTACCCCATTTACACATGGCATTGAAATGTGTTATGGTTGAACAGATTGCAGGTGGACAGGGCTTGACCTCATGAAAGTACTGGCTGTAAATGCACCCAAACGAACTGAGGATGGATTGTGATCCGACCAAACCAACACCAGGTGTTCAGGGACACATGTCAGCACATTGAACACATGTGTAAAAGCGTTGTCAATCCACATACAAAGGCTACGTGGGCAGAAATATGTAATCAAGCGTGACTGTTCCAAACCAGAAAGGTAGCAGCTGGCAGCCACTCGCCTGCAAACACATGAAGCAGTTCCTCCTCGGTCCTCAACTGTGGACGTTGTTCAAGACATTCGTGGATACAGCAAGCAAACACAATAACGCAGCTTCAGATGGCTACCATCTTTTTCTGTTCTTCTATCTTTCTTTTTTGTTGTTTTGGACCCTGCACAAATGAAAGGAGTATGTGATGTGAGCTGGACAGAGTGATCGGATCTCAGTCGGATCTCAATGTGGAAACTGGAGACACATTTGTACCAGGTGTAAATGTATTCAGGTTAAAATCATATCTAGATACAATCTGGATATTATTTTTAATTGGGGCTGAAGAATTAATCTAAATATTATCAAAATCACAATTCGGCCAAGTGCAATAGCCAAATCACAGGAGCTGTAATTTTATTTTATTTTTTCTTCAGTACTGTGGTGCAACACGGACGCCCCGGCCTAATCATATCCTCCAGATGTAAGGGAACATTCTGGTCAGGTACAAGTCCCAATGAAAATCACATCATCAGCATTTTTTTTTTTATTTTCAGTGAAAATTAAATGCAAAAATGACCATTCCAACTGATTTCGCAATATCTGCCAAAATAATCACAAGACTCAATTGTTGATTGGCAGCAGCTGCTTCATTTATGCTTCACTTATCTATACTTCATTTGTCAGCCGCTTGTCTACCAGCGGTTTAGTTGTCTAGTAGTAATCATACTAAAGTTAGACAAGACTAGAATCGTGTCAGTTATACAGGTGTACCCAGCGGCCTTTATTACCTGGCACTTCTCACTGTCTTCATATTTAAGCTGTTTGCTGCCATAAACTCCTCCACCATCCCAGACTTTTAGTGTTGTTGACTTTTCTAAGATCTAATGATCATGCGCATGGTAAGGGAGGATGAGATCTCTAAGCAGAATCGTCTTCAAAGCCTTTTTGTTCAGCAAAGCAAACTGTAAAATCATTTGCTATCAATGGTCGATCACTTGGCGTAAGTAGCTCTGACTGATATTCCAGCATCTCACTGAATTTGTTTCCATCTGTCCTTAACCCTAACCTCAGTTTAAACATGATTTTGCCTGTGATTCGTTGATTCCTGGTCCTGTACAGCTACACTTCACTGTTGGTCAGTTTGATTGCACAGCACCAAATAACCCTCTGCTGCTGCTGCTGTACACAAACCACTTTCCTACTGAGATTCTCACTGCTGCTGCTGCTGCTGCTGCTGCTGCTGTTGCTGTTCAAGCTTTGCTGCAGTGCCAACACACATCAATTCGGAGCCAATGCATTCTTGATTAGGCGTGGACACGGTAATTGTTTTCATTGCTTTGGATTGGAACGACATTGAATCTAATGTGGTCCATCGATCTTTTGTTGGGGGGGAAATTGGGTTTGTTACCAGCGTTGTAGATCTCTCATGGCCTATGTGTTAACCTTTTATACTCTCTCTCCCTCACCACATTTTTCTCTCAAATCTCTATCTGTCCCCATCCTTCCCTCTTCATTCTCCTGAATCATTCTCATACCCTTTGACTTTTAATCTCTCCCTATTTCTCTTCCTATCTGTCTTTCATTCTGCTTTGTTTTTTTTTTTTGCTCCCTCCTTTTCTTCCTGCACCACCTCTTTTTTCCACCCTATTCTCCCCTTGTGCATTCAATTTAAAAACTCAATTAGCGTGATTGCTTATCATAAACAATATTACTAAGGTAATGTACCACCGACAAACAACTGAAAGATGTCACCCGCAAATATTTGGTATTTTTATTCTCTATATAAATTAAAAGATTAAACGATTACCTACATTGTCATTCACCGGCTTTCTGTCTATTTGGCTAATTGATTTAACTTAAAGAAAGAATTTATATGAGGTACTCTGTACATTTGTTTGCCATCGCTGTTCCTTTGCTTTACTATAAAGTCTAAGTGTTTCTGCTGCCTGTCTTTTCCAGGACTCCAGAAACCTTCCAGACACGTTACCTGTGTTTGGGCTGATAGAACAGACCTGTCTATCTATTTTTTTCTTGTAAAGTAAAGGAGCAGATTTCCTGCCAACTGTAAATTGTGGCACACTGCCACTGGAGGAGACTTATAAAAGCTTCTTCTTGTAACTCCTGTATAATTTACAGAAAGTCATCAAGATGCATTACTGCAGTTGAAATGTGTTTACAGATCAGATGATTGAAGGGAAGAAGAGGGTAAAAGCGGGGATAGGCCCTTACTAGGCCCCCCCCCCCCAGCTGTCTGCTGTGTGGGCCCCTGAATGGGGCGCTGGGTGGTCGGGCTTGGGCCCCCTTGCTTGCCCCTCCAGTGTTCTGGTGTGGCCTCTCCCCAACCCCTGCTACATGAATATAATAATTATCATCGTGATTATCATTATTATAAATCATTACATTATATTATATCATTATTATTACTGTATATGTTATTGATTATTATTATTATTGTGCTGTCTGTGTATATACATGTACAAATTAGTATTGTTAATATTATTATCATTGTATACTATGGACTCTCATTAGAACATCCTAGCATACTATTCTTTTGATAAAGGTCAGCATTGGATTGTAATATCAACATTGTAATTGACTGGTCTAATCTTTACTAATAGCTACATGTACAGTATCTATAGTAATGTGAACTTTATAACACACAGAAGCCAGCCGGGGCAAATTGGACATTATACTGAATAATTTCTTCTCTTTGTCTTTGTGTTTCTCAGCAGTCAGAGTGCAGAGTCAGTCCCAAGAAAAGCACAGAGCCAGCTGTGGACCTGCTGGGCCTGGGTAAGACATCACTGACCTTCTTTCATCTGACAGTTTAATAACCCTCAGGCAATAGAATAACTTCTCAACCTGTATACAAATGTCTGCCTAATGTGTCACATACAGGGGCATGGAATGAGCTCGTTTTCTGCCTTAATTATTCATGAAATATGATCTGATCTTCATTATGAGATAATACACACAATTAGTTGTAATCGTTAGTGTCTTCATTGAACACACCCATTGAACATCTGCACAATGTTCAGGAGGACTTTTAGACCGATCTTCCTTAAAAAACATGCTTCAGCCCCGACATATTCTGTGGATGTGTGGTGTGAGCGGCTCTCCTCAGATCATTCCACAGCACCTCTACTGGATTACAGTCTGGGCTCTGACTGGGCCACTCCAAAAGGTGGATTTTCTTCATTTGAAGTCATTCTGTAGTAGATTTACTTTGATATTTAGGGTCATTGTCCTGCTGCATCACCAGCTTCTCCTGAGTCTCAGCAGGTGGACACACACCCAGACATCAATCCTGTATGACAACTTGATAAAGTTGGGAATTCATTTTCCCTTCGATGATGTTGAGGTGTCCGGGCACAAGAGGCACAAAATCAGCCCCAGATCATGAAGCCTTGTTTGGTAGACTCATGAACAGAGATGTTCACCACCTCCAGTGATTCCTTTAAGCTTTTAGCTTTAGAACTCTGAGGTTCTTTTTTTTTAACCTCACTTAGCAATCTGTGTTGTGCCTTTGGAGACAGTTTGTCTCAGTGTGCATGGATATCTAAACAATGACTTGTTAACCCTTTACAGCTTTATGCAAATCAACAATTCCTGGTGTGGTCTGTTTTTTGCAAGGCCTTGTTTATCTACAGATCTTTCTTATAAATAGCTCCTTAGTTTCAAAGTAGCTCTAACCCACAGCTCCAATCTGTTTTCAGTGATTGGGCTCCAGGGGCCGGTTTCACAAAGATATTTCAGACTGGTCTGTGGTGAGGGTCCAGGCTTCATTTGGCTCATAGATCAGTCTAATGTTAGTCAGACTGTTTCACAAAAGTAAAGACTGATTCATTTTAAGGCAAAAACATTAGACACCTTACCCCCAGGCTAACTCAGTCCTAAGAGCAAAGTTACCATGGTAACAATCAATGACACCTGCGCTGACCAGTAGCACCCAACAGCAATTTCCCAAGTAAAACGTCCTTGTAGCTGTTGAACTCTTCCAAAAGACGAACATGTTCTGCTGGGGTAAACGGAGCTGAGCGGCTGGATGTGGTTCATCTGTTTGACTTTTTTTTTTTTTTATTTTGAAATTATTTACCTAGAATTCATTGTAACACAGGCGGGCTGAAGATAGTGAAGAAACTAAACTGCTTTGTGCAATGGATGAATTTAGACGTTCGTCTGAAGTCTGACTATATTATTATATCTAAGCCACTGTCAAAGACTATGTTTGTGAAACAGGCCCCAGAGGTCTGATAACTCCTGACTCTGGCAATTAGTTCACTTCAGTTTATTTCAGTCCGTATGTAAAACACATAGAAATAAAGCATAAGAATATCAGCTGAAAAGGTGTAGGCTGAATCTATAGTATATTACACCTCTGCATAACATTACATGACTCAGCAACACTCTCACTACAGACCAATGTATAGTCACAGAAAACTGAAAGAGACTCTTCACTGTAAGACAGATCATGACATCAACAATTTGCATTAGCTGATTGGTTCAGATTTTTTTCCAGCCTACACTGTGAATGTTTGAATGATCTTTTCAATATGGACAAGAACAATATAATGATTTGTGCGTTATTAGTTAAAATAGATTGTGTTTGTTCATATTTGTAACTTAGATGAAGATCTGACCATATTCTATGACAAATTTCTACATAAATGCAGGTAATTTCAAAGGGTTCAGTTGATAACATTTCCAGAGCGACATTGTAATAATTGCAGGTTAAGTAATGTCAGGAAAAAAGTTTAACGCTGTCAGGCTTTATTTGAGTCGTGCACAGAGACATTTTTTTACATTCTAATGATTTATTATATCATTTGGCAGTTAATGTAAAATTAGTGGCTTCAAACTGTCATGTCTAACATATCTGTGAGCAGGCTGCACTTAAATCCACCCAACAGTCTAGTCTTGTACCGGAATATCTAATTATGATTTAAATTCCAAACGTTGAAATAAAGTCATTCCTACCTTTGGGGAAATTGGAGTTTGAATATGAGTTAATTGTCGAATGTAAAATATAACTGGACCTACATTTTACACAATAGTTGACTCATTGCCTTTAGAAAAAGCAAGTCCAATGACTTAGTAATGGAAAATCTCAGAGCAGAGTCTCCCCCAGACATAAACTTACATAAAAAGTACAATGCATTTTGAATGGCTTTGGTGAAGTCAGTGTTTTAAACTCTTCCTAGTGCTTTCATTTTAACATTATGCACACGATTGAGAGTGAGGGAATCATGTCAGTGGTCCGGTCACAGACTGACACCAACTCCTCACTTCAAGGGTCCCATTCACCAAATTTGCAACATGAGGTCGATTCCTCTTGCTTTTATTTAATAAATACCATGCATTGTGACTGGTGATGACCTAAGCTGATCCTAAGAATGAGTATTGAGGCTGATTCTGGTATAATTTAATGGACTGGGATCAGGTAAAATAAACCCCATCAAAACCCTTTCTTTACCCTCTGTGTTTTATCCACGTCAGCCTGCTAATGTTGCAGCGCTTCTCTCCTTTACCACAGCCAGGCTCCACAGTGCAGCGTCTCACCGCATATGCAAGTTAACATTTGTGGGTGAACGTGTGCAGACATTGAGGTTGGCATAATGCACACATTCACTAACCTCAGACACTTATCATTCACAGACAACAGTGTCCAAAACATTCACGTAGCAGCTTCTCAGTTTTAGCCGTTGCTCACCATCATTTTGACCATCGAGATACAGCAGCATGCTAATTAACATTAAATCTGTGAGTAACTTCGTGACAGACTAAAATTAAACTTGTCTATTGCCCGGTTTAAGTGCTCTCCGACAGCCAACAGTGTCTGTACCCATCAAAGATCATTTGTGAAGGAAGAACCTTCACCCTTGTAACATCACTATACAATTGTGAGTGGACTGAGTGTTTCTGTAGTTTCAAGAAATCCAATAGAGTGATACATCCTCCCTTTCCCAGTTAGATGTTCATTCATATCATATCATTAACTAAAGATTGTAAAGATTATTCTTTGAATTTGGGCTAGACAAAATTTATTTGATTCTTGTAGCTCGTGAAAATAAGGTCTGTCAGAGTAAGTAATTAACAGCTGTTATTTCAAACTGTCAGATACATATTTAATCAACATTTACTTGGGCATCCCTACTTGCAACTGGTGCAAGAGCCCTGCAGGAGTTATTTGTGAAATGGGATGCCGTCACCATTTGCAATCTGTATGTAAGCATTGCTCACAAATTGATTTTGTGAGACGGGTCCCGGATTTCAGTGTGAAAAATCAGGAGGTTCTCCAGTTATTATCAGACCAGGATAAATCTATTGCCTTTACTCTTTATATAACTGCAGAATGACACAAGCAACATGAGACAAAGGGATGCTGCACAGAGCGTAAGGACAATGACAGAGGTTAATGACAGAGTGTTTGATCAGACACTGAATAATTGTACAGCTTGTGAAATGCAGTTGTTAGCCTGCTAGCCATGTTAGTTCGCTCAGTTTATGTTTTCAATCTTGCCAGCATTATTTCTCGCTTCTTTATGCCAAAGCACGTAAAATTCACCAAGCCAAAATCCAAGCACAACGTCTGCTCCCTCAGCCTTGTGACTGCAATCACACACTGTTTGACTTCACTATAAGTTTTGTTGCATCTATTTGGGCAAGACAACTTACACCTGTATGACTGTTTTGAATACACAGGTTTTAGAGATATCAAATTCCCAGTGGTGGCAAAGAACCTCAACTAGGCAAAAGATCTAATTACCCAGAATGCCTAAAAACTATTTCATTGCGACACAACAGCTGTCATAGATTTTTCTTATCAGTTGGACAAAATTATAGATAACCAAGCTGTCAGTGTAGAGCCAGATCTGATCACATGTTCTTTATCTCCTGCATACTTGCATCTTTATTGAAGAACACAGCAGCAGAATAGCTGGAAAGATTGAACACATCGAGGATATGACATTCAACAAAGGTCACAAGCTGGATTCAAACCTGTGACATTTTGAGCCCGTGGTATGAGTCTTGGCCCGCTGACCGCCAGGACATTATACTGCTCCATGCTTGTTGACCTTAATCCTGAACAGCAAAAAACGGCAGCAGAGGAAGGCAGCGTTGGCTCAGGGTTTCACCATAAATTTGTAATATGCAATCACCCTGTGCCCCCCCCCCCCACGAGGCTCTATTGTATTGTATTGTATTGGAGTGTATCGTAGTGTATTGTAGTGTAGTGTATTGTATTAGCTGCACTGACAAAAGAAAGCGCTGGAAGAGTGAGAGTGGACGCCCTGCTATAAATAAGCAATGCTACACAGCTTGCAGCCATAGTGAGTGGATGAGATTTCACACCTAATCAATAAGTCAAATACGTGGCAGTATGCCTTCAGCACTGACCCACCCCCCCCCCCCCCCCCGCGTTCTTCCATCCAGCCTGCTCTATGTGTTCCTGTCACTTCCTCTGTGCTTCAATTAATGTTAAAAACAATATTGTGAAGTCACATGAATTACTTTCTCCTTTTGCCAAAAATGAGCTTTTTATGAAAGATTGAATACGGTAAAGATGGCTTCTCTTTGACGACAGCCTCATGGAAACACATTTTCTTTATTTATTTCAGGTTTAGTTGGATGATTCTGATGATAAATGCTGCCTCAGAGATGTTCCCTCTCGCCAAAAATAGATCTGTTCAGGAGCTACTGAATCAATTTCAAAAACTTTTATTGATGGAGCCCCCCCCCCTCCCCTCTCACTTCCAGCTCAGTCCTTTCCTGTAATGGTTCTGATACACTGA